TAAGGATGAAATCCCTTCATCCCTACGGTTAAAAGAAAGATTTCAAAGGTTTTACCTCTATTGCCCCTATTGTCCCTCGCCCCTCTTCCCCCAGAGAGTCCGAGCAAACGATTTATCAAAATTGGGTGCCCTTGGCCAAAGGATGCTCCAGACCTAATTGGGTTGAAATCCTATAATCCCTATGGTAGAATAAGGATTTGAAAGATTTTACCTCTATTTCCCCTATTGGGCCCGCTTCTCTGCCCTCAGGAGTAACACCCACCGTTTATACAAAATTGAGTCCCCTTGGCCTAAGGATGCTCCAGGCCAAATTTAGTCCAAATCTACTGGGTCGTTCAGGACTAGTAGCATCATGATTTCAAAGGAAAAATTGACGGACGGACGGATGGACGGACGACGGACGCAGTAGTATGGCATATGGACCAGATGAGCTAAACATTGAAGTTCGAACAAGTTTGATGTTTGAAAAAGTTTAAAGTTTTCGCAGTAGTTTCTAAATAAACAAGCCTAAACATACCACAATCCCCCAAAATCAAAATCATTGTTCGTACTCATGGCAACGGGCAATATGCCTACTCCTAACACGATTTCTCACCTGGGTGAGAATCGTGTCGGGTGAGAATTCGTGCCGTTACAACGTTTCTATTTTTGACAAGTCGCTCGAGACTAGTAATAGGTATAGAAACAGCAAAAACCAGAGTATAGAAAACAGAAATAGAGTGGGTTTTTTGTGTGTGTCTTAAGTGATATAGATGATGAATTATATTTTGTTTTAAAATGTCCATTTTTGCCGATTTACACAGGTCCTTTAGCAATCCTTACTATATCTGACACATTAGAATGCATACATTGATTAAGTTGTTTTCAACAGAAAATAAAAATAAAAAAGAAATAGCTAATTTGGCAAAGTATCTAAGAATTGCCAATAGAAAACGACAAAATGTATTGAAGAGCTAGTCAGTAATATATGTATATGCCCTTGTTATATACTACCTTTATTTCTTAAACTTCTTTGTTTTTTTTTTACTTATATGTGTTTTATGTTACATAGTATATATGCTATGCACAACTGATGAGCTGTATACATAAACTTAAACTTGTATCTGGTATTGAATAGTTGACACGTATTGATCAATCTTTCGTACCTGTGATGTCAGTGGCCCGTAATAGCCTCAGGACACATGCACAGTTGTAACAGTAAAGAGAGTCGTTTGTAGAAAAAAACTTCAAGATGTCTACGCCAAGATTGCATTAGTACAACACCTGAGCTTTCTATATGAATTAATATTCTAATCAGTTTATAAATTTCTAAAAGTATGATATATAATAACAATGATTAAATCCGCTGAGGTATAGAAAAGAGATAGAGAATACCAGAGACGTATATACTTGATATGACTCTGAGAATACGGAAGTATAATTCGAATTCGACATCGATAACGAAAGAAAACAATGAACGTGAGGAATATTAGCAGAGAGTATTTTTGGTGAACTTGACGTTGTACGTTCAGTCAAAATATGTAAAACAAATGGATACTGGAATGGTGACCAGGCACCAGATTAGCAGTAACTAGTTGTGTGGTAATTCCTTGAAAGGATTGGAAATCATTGCATGTAATCTTTCTATGTAGATTGAACTTGTTTTCATGTTGTGTATATCTGTTATATTGTAGTCCATGAAGGGCACATACTGGTTTCTATCGGATTAATCGACGTGTTCAGCAGGGGTCTGTTCGTTTATGTGGAACAACCGGTTTGTCCGTTTATAAATGTAACAATCAATTAACAGTTACTGTTTAATTTTAAAACCCTAGTCATATGAAGTTTATCTTGAGTAGATTTTTTTATCATGAAATACGACGAAACCAAAAGGAATTTAAAACTGAAATCACAATTATCTGTAATTCGATTTTATCTTACTTACTTACTTATTGCCTATTACGCCATGTGGCGTTTAGGGCAGCAATTAAGTTCCTTCGCGGTTTAAAACTCATCCATACCTGGTGATCCTTTGCTAATCGCTCGATAGTAAAGCTATATCATTAGGATAGCATTTCCAAGTATAGCTTAGATAAATAAATTCTAATATACCAGGAAGAAATCTCTTACTTAATATATAACCTGTCAGCTACTTTTATAATAAAAAAATCAGTTCATGTCATTTAAAATTTGTTCTAAACATGTTCTTAATTCAGAATTCAGTACAGCAATTCACGAATTGTCGTTAATATCCTTGGAAACGAAAATCGAAGAGTTGTTTATCTTGAAATAATCGAGTCAAATTCTTCCGGTTTGTATAGCTTCTGCGAAAGGTCTACTAGATCAGATGTGAGAAGGGAGATAGCTCGCATAGAGTACAGGATAATCGAAACGGATCTTGAATCCTTTTTAAAATGTGTCCGACTCGCAATTCAGTTGAATTATAAAATATATGCCATACCTATGCTTATATTTCTTATTTATATATTTAATAAACAGAACAAACTGGACAATTCAGTAGTGTTACAAAATGTTTTAAATTACTATAAAAACAAAATATAACAAGCAATTACACGAGAAATTAATTATTATTAAGGCATATCATATAGTACCTATATTCTATTTAACATTTATATTTATAAAAAGTAATGATTCTTTTCAATATTCTGTGATCACCTAGGAGTTTTACTTTTAGAGAATTAAGTCCTAGTCCTTAGTGGTACATGCTAACTTGCGAGACTGATCAGCGGAACAAGATCTGTCAAGCAAACTAATTAAACAGATAATTGAAAAGATCAAACTGACCAGTGGCGGATTCAGATGGGGTTTTTGGGCTTCGAGAACTCTGAGAAATCTGACATAGAACTAATGAAGATAGTACACGATGGTGGGTGCCAAGATCGCTCTGGGATCTCTTGTTCAGGGGTTTTACCACTAGTAGGGGTGTCACAATATATTGAGTGTATCACGATATATTGCAATACAGAATTAATATATTGCGATACGTATCCCGATATATTGTTATAGGAAGGATGTGCTCAATTTTATAATAAGCTGTTGTCAGAATGTTATAAAACTTAATCATATATAATATGGATTACATAGATTTAAGATTTTTGTCAAACCAACCATCGATTACAAAAGTTGAACTATCAAAATTAAGCCTGCTTTATGCTTATTGGTATATCTGTTTGAATTTGTAGTAATGCAAAGTTAAAACACCAAGCAGATATAAAAAAAAATATGCTTTTAAAAAATATTGCGATACGGCAATATATTTTATCTCTGTATTGTGGTACGATACGATATAACCGTGTATTGCGATATACCTGCTATCCGATATATCGTGACAGTCCTAACCACTAGTACTACGACCGATTTATACATGACCTATAGCATTCCTGATTTGGACCTAAACTAAGGTGTTTGACAATCTGATTAAAATCATATGTTACATGGTCCCGCGTAGTACGAAGTTAACGAGCCTATAACAGATGATTTTAATCAGATTGAGGTGTTCAGAGTAATTTTATATGTTTTATGGGTTTAGATCGACTTTTGGTAAAAAAAAAAAAAAAAAAAACACACCCCAATGCTTTGAAATCAGAATTCCGTGTTTGAAAAATCAGGGACGTTCCACTACACATCCCTGGAAAAAAATAACTATAAATTTGTACATGTGTGAGTATTATATATATATATATATACTTCATGTTTATATCTATCATCGATGTTATCATGTAATTGTAATTGTATGACGGCAGAAGGCTGTGATAAGTTAATCAATTAAAATTAAATCTTCACATCACTCCCGTTTACTGATATGTCGCGTTGAAGCGTTTTTAAATCTTTTATTTTATCTAATTTTAATTTTTGTCCTCTCTCATGGCATTTTTGCAGTATCAGAAATACCAGAAAAGTCGAAAAGATACAGGAAAGAGCTTTACGTGTTATTGATAATGATTATAGCTCCTCTATTAAAGATCTTTTAGCTTGAAATAAATTAGAATTTTTACATATATGTAGGCTGAAGACCATGGCCAAGGAAGTATACAAGATTTTAAATAATATTGCTCCAGAATTCTTAAAGAGTCTTATCAACAAAAACCAAGTTTTATATAATTTTAGGAAAAATGACACTGTGACTATACCAAGAGTAAATTCTACCACATATGGTAAGACATCTTATCGTTTTGAAGCCGCCCAGGTGTGGAATAGCCTACCAAATGAGATTAGCTAGACAAGCAGAAAACTACAAGGTTTTCTGTAGGCTGTCGCACACCTGGGAAGGTGACCTCTGCCAGTGTTCTATATGTTCGTGACTTTTATCTTATTGATCCCCCATTTTTATTTTGAGATTTTTGCTTTTATTTTGCTTCTTACTTTACTTTAATTTATCTGAGTATTTTATTCCATCATTTTCCAATATATAGTATCGTAATTAACCATCTGATATATATGAATTATGTGCTTGCAAAATCTGATATGTTTTTATATGTTTTATGCTTATGATTTCTGCTTATGTTATAATTAGTACTGTTCCTGCTTTTAACATGCATGTGCTATCATCGAACTGTTTTCTGATTATCCTGCAAAATCCTTCCTTTTCTACTAGCATGCCTTTTACCTTGTTATCACTCTGTTTTTATACTTATGTTTGTCGTAAAAATAGCTCCACAGAGCTTATGTTCAATGCTATGCCATATACGACACTAAATAAAGCTTCTTATATCTTGTATCGTGTATGTGAAGATATAATTTTAATCCGGATTGCTGAAAATGACACTTATTTCCAGTGGCAAATTCCAGTCGTATTTATCGCATCCATTCAACAATATATCCGAAGATAAAATACTTTTAAACAAAAGAGGATCAGACAAAACGCTTTGTTATTTTACTCGGTTTCTAATCAACATATGTTCAGAAATACATTTTGAGAATCAATTGAAGAAACAAGAAACCCATTCCAGTGACCCGTGTTCGGACCGGATTCGGAACTTCAGAGTTATGCCCCCTTTTTGTTCGGCTATTTCCGTCATATCCCGTATTGATTTTCGATGTAAACATGGCAGACTGCAGATGATGACTGCATATGTAATGACTAAAGTGTCCCTGTCAAGCTGTTTGAGTACTCTTCAACAACTGTAATTTTAAACACAGAAAAAGGTACAAAATGCTCTTGTGCTGTTTCAGATAACAACCAAAATTTGTTTACTGTAGTGTGGAACTAAAACCGTGTTAGCAAACGCGTCTTTCGTTGACGTTGTAATTCACTGTTGTAAACCCCCCCTCTCTCTCTTCTTTCCCCGGTATATGCTCGACGTTTCTTTTTGCTGTTGTTAATCTATGAAGACCAAGTATGCTTTTCCAGGACACGGGTCTTGCTCAATTTGTGTTTTATGCTGTATGTTGGTATTCCATTGGAAATATTGAATCCCCCGGCCATACTAGAGAATAGATTTGGGATGCTGCATCTACCTGTCTACTGTTAGGGCACAACTCCTCATACTCGTAATAATCCTCCATTTCGGTAAAAAATACTGTTTACGGTAACATTTTTACAGTTGAAATGGGAATTGAAGTGAAATAAAAACACGTAACTTTTTCTAAACTTTTGGAGCAAAAAGTGTCATTAGTTCCACATAATTCAATTGATATTAGTTTTGTAGTGGAACTGGATTGGCTTAATCATAGTGGAACTGGACTGAGTTAATCACCGGCGACCAGGTAGCTCAATGTTGTTATCTGTCAGTTTGGAGGGTCCCTGGTCTGGCCATGCACTTTTCCTTTCCTATTTCATTTGGCAACAAAATATACTACCACAGAGAGTGATGTAGGGTCTTGTGTGTCTACGGGGTTGAAGACTTTGTTAAAGGAGGGAATTGGTTTAGTATTGTTTAATGTCCTATCAACAGCTATGGTCATTTAAGAACGGCCTCCCCTGTGTGCAAGATGCATGCGTGTAGTGTGTGTGTTTAGGGAGGCTGCGCTATGTTCGTGTTTGTCTCCTTGTGATAGCGCGAAACTGATGCCGACTTTATAGTGCTACCTCACTGAAACATACTGCTGAAGACACCCAGCAGGACACCCCACTCGGTCACATTATACTGATAACGGGCAAACCAGTCATCCCACTCCTAAATTGCTGAGCATTAAGCAGGAGTAGAAACTACCATTTTTACCAGGGCCAGGGAACAAAACCCAAAGCCTTCCTCACAGGAGCGAATGCTAAAGGCCAAATGTGAGGCATTGTCAAAGGAGACTTTAGGAAGAAGAAAGTTGTTTAGATAGGAGGGGAAAAAAAAGATCCCAAATTAATTGGCTTCCGCGCTATCACAAGGAGACAAACACGAACATATTGCAGCCTCCCAAAACACACATGTATGCATACGCTACATGAATGCATCTTGCACACATGGGATGCCGTCCTTAAATGACCATAGCTGTTGATAGGACGTTAAACAATACTAAACCAAACCAATCATGGAATAAATATCAGGAGATTTCTGCTGCTTAATTCTTGTTTGTATCTAGCAAGGAAACTGGTTGCTCCTAAAGGACTACGCATTGTATACATAGTCATTGGAAAACAAAATAAGTCAATTGGGGCTGCGGTGGCCAAGTGGTTAAGGCGTCTGACATTCTGCTACCTCTAGCCCTCCACCAATGGGTCACGGATTCGAGACCTACGTGGGGTAGTCAACAGGTACTGGCTGTATCCTGGTGGTTTTTCTCCAGGAACTCTGGCTTTCCTCCATCACCAAAACCTGGCACGTCCTTAAATGACCTTAGCTGTTAATAGGATGTAAAACACAAACAAACCCAATCCAAACCAAAATTAAGTCAATGCCATGAGACATGAGAGTTTGTCATGAACACTGTACTAGTGGTCACCTGCAGACACAGTCCTGTTTTGATAAACAAATGTCGTTACCTCCGAAAACAACATCATTCACAACACAGGTTTATATTAGGATCGCTTTGACAAGCATACATGCACACACAATACTAGAAATAATGGCTGGTCAAAGGTACCGTTCGGCATTGTAATAGGAGAAGGAAAGTGCAGACTGGGATTCAAACACTAGGACATCTGAACTATTTAACGGATGCTCTAACCAAATGAGCTACCTAGCTATAAGCTAGTCACCAGGCCAGGTCCCACAAAAGTCATTTTGTGTATCCACTATGTGTATGTTTAAAGCACAGATCCAGATTATCAGTCGTAATATCTACCGAGTGATCAGGAAAAACATTTAAGTGTCATTATTATTTATTTTTTAATTGAGTATGATATAATTACTTTTGTTTGATTTCATAGTCTGTTTTCTGTTGCAGTAAGAAACTTATCCATCAACACATTGCTCACAAGGAGGAAGCTTAAAGTGTTCCAAAATGTCGTAAGTACAAAACTTAAATTCCAGTTTTAAAATATTAAAAATGTTGTTAAGTACAAAATCTGCCTTCAAGTTTAAGGGATACTGAAATGCTGAAAATCAGAAAGTACAGTGTTTCATGCAAATGTACATATAGTTACGGTTAATTTCTGGTCATATTATAAATGAAACATGAAAAATATTGTTAGCCTTGTTCAAATTACACAAAATAATAGACACTAAATACTGTACTTTCGTATTTACATCATTTCCTCTATAGCACATAGAATTACATGTACAGTAAACCTCCGCTAAGATAAAACAACCCCTCATTATGACCTCCCCCCACTCTTCATTCAGAATTGGGATTCACTGGAGATTCATTGCATTGCTTTTATAAGTTAAATGTGCTTTACAAAGTGTGATAAACAAATTTGGCGTCGAGCTTCTAATGATGTACTACAAAAGCTGTTTTAATGTTTCTTTTTGCCTAATATATGCTTATGTTTACATTAAACGATTATTCTGTGTACATATGATGACGTCACCAATGTCACTATATATCGATGGTGTCATAAATAACTGATTTGTTGGTTCTGATAACGCCTCAAGATCCCCTTTGAGTCTAAACATGTAAACACAAGGTTGGAATAATTTCATCTATAAGCCAGATTCTGCTGTACCATGTGTTGTTGTCCATGCACGCTCATAACTAAACGTGAAACAAAGTGAAATACAGAACAGTTACTTCCCTGTGTCAGTAAAATATCTCTGTGTAATACTGTATGACTCTACCATGTATAGAATAGAAATGGCCCACCTTAGGGAAGTTAGGGTACAGAATTGGGGGCAAAACTAAGGCTTGAACCCAACTTACTTACCAAAGTATGGGATATTTCTATCCTTCCTTGTTACCGTATATATATAGTATTTCATAAAAGTGTAATAATGAAACAATTTCAGAATTGCTATTACCCTTCGGTATTTTCAATTTTCAACAGACATTTTGTATTATATCTCAAGTATAACCAGGCTAATTTCTTCGCAGTAGGCATGGCTACTCTGGCTCCAACTATGATAGACACGTGGAAAGAACTGAGACATCCACACTACACAAGATGAAGGAGACATTCTGGACGACGAAACAAGCGGTCATACAGAAACTGGGCAAAAAGGAAGATGAACATGTAGTCGCTTCTGATGCACAGCTGGACTCCAAACTGGAGGTATGGGCGCAAAAAATATATTTCTTATTGTTTTAATTTTTATCAGAGCAAAATATGTGAAGGTGATGATTATGATATTATTGTTTGTGTTTCATGATTTTATTCAAAATGTTCAATTGTGAAATATAACAATGTTGAAATAAAAAAATTGATAATTGTTATATTTTCTGCTTTGTACATTGTAGGTGTTTAGAGCCATACAAAAATCCTCCATGGAACTTTTGCATGTGATAGAGAAGTACCAGGACCGACTTTGTGGTAGGTGAAAGCTGTATATCTATTTAAAGTATGTGCTATCTTACATATTGTACCAGCAATCTGTGTTAAGTTATCTCCCTTATAAGAAATTGGAATATAAGAATATTCAAGAGTGGATCTTGAGTCACAAATTGGAAATTAATGATCGAGTTCCAACATTTTTTCTTCTTTTTACTAGCATGAAAAGACAAACACAGTCATGCTACTAAGATTGGCTCAGTGGTCCAGGTCGGCCCCACCCTAGGGTATTTTGCTTCAATTTGGAAATGGTGGCGATCCCGACATTATATGGAGGTCCCTCAATGGGTGATGGTTGGTTATCATGTTTATCTAACTCGAGTTAGTTAATTTTCAAATTGTATAAAGACACTAGGTTTACAGAGTGTGTTTTGCAATTTGAAAATTAACTAACGAGAGTAAGATAAATGTGATAACCTACTATCACGAGTTTGGGGTCCTTTTTCTCCCATACCATTCATATTTTATCTGGAAAACCATATACTGTTTCCCTTGAAAATACACCTTGTCGGCTTCCGATTGGGGAGAGCATTGCCGTGAATCGTGACGTCAATTTGGAAGATGATGTCGCAAAGCATTGTTACGTGATGTCATAAGTAATAAATTGACCAATGAAATCACATCCAGGGTGTTACCGTATTACCCACTAGTGTGTAATCAAAAATGTTTACCAACTCCTAATAGGTTAACCCCAATGAATGGGGAGTGAGGAAACCTATAGTGATTGTGGGGAAAATACATGTTCCTATTATAATTGATGGGCAGATGATTTGAACAGAATCATAATATCAGGACTAGCCTTGGGGTTGGACTCAGCCCAACTCTTTGGGTCTAAGTTCCTGGGTCACAAAATTGAAATGTTTGATATCACCATCCTTTACCGTATACACAATTAAGGAATAAAGAGACAAACATGCTTATGCTTGTACCTCTGAGGTCCTGCTGGTCTTTGGGACTAGTCCTGGAATTATCACCTGGAAACAGTTTATATCTCCACCCTTTAACCATATATACATTATGTACTATGTGTTTTCTGGACATGAAGAGACAAATACTGTATAGGATGTGCATTGATAAGGTTGCCTTACAAGCATCAGCTGTAGGGAATTTCCCTTTAGCTAAGTGGTATCAGAGCATCAGGCTGGAAAGCTAAGGGTCGTGGGTTTGAACCCAAGCGACGGCACTATATTTGTCACTGTTCTTCATCCTACTACAAAACTTACGCTACCAGATTAGTCCAGAAATCTGGCCCTGATGCTGCGGACTAAGTCGCAGTGTTATAAAACGATTGAGGTAACTCTATACCCAAATACACAAGTCATGTAAAGAAAGATTGTAGCTCCCCTTGGGGCAGGGCAGAACAAAGAGAATTTATCATTTAAATCTTCAAAATACTACACTTCGGGAACAGTTTATAGACCAAAATTGGTATAAAGTGCCATTGGGACTAGGAAATCAAATTTTGTATAGATTAAGGGGTGTCTCTCTAGGTGCTGAGAGGCAGCGCCAAAAAAGGGTGATTTTTTTTTTATCAGAATATGTTGCCATGATTGCTTAAATATCTTTTAATTTGGTTTTCAGCTCTGTCACAGGACGAGAATTCTATGGGGAGATTCTTAAAGTCGCAGAGTAACATTGACAAAACGAGGGCTGGCAAAATGATGGCAGCTGTCGGCAAATCTCAGAGTTTTGCTGCTCAACAAAGGTGGGATGCATATGTGACTCAATATTCTAAAATTTCAGTGTCCATTGAAATCCGAGGAATAGATGTTTTTCTTATTTTTGGAAATGTCACTGGGGAATAAAATATTGTGCAAATTGTCTTAATTTAAAAAAAAAAAATATACAGTTAAAAAAACCCAGAATAAAACCCAGAATAATGCACCATTCAGATGATTATTTCCTTAATACTGAGTAACTTATTGTTGATCAAGGAAAAGAGCTGAAACACAACTGTAAAAATGGCCTGAAAGTTTCTTGATCCTTTATGTAATTGTATTTAGTTTGTATTTCAAATAAATGTTGCATCCAAGTGTTAACTGCCAACATCATTAATGCTACAATATTTTACAGATGTAAAACATGTATTTTCTTTCACAGATTATCATTACGTGTTCCACTAGTTCGTCTTTACCAGGAAGTGGAAACCTTCCGCTACCGTGCCATCTCCGATACATTGATGACAATAAATAGGATGGAGGGGGCACGGACAGAATATAGGGGTGCCCTCTTGTGGATGAAAGCAGTTTCCGAGGAACTTGACCCAGATACGTTTAAGCAATTAGAAAAATTTAGGAAGGTAAGAATTTCTTAATCAACCATCTATCTGTATATTGAAACAATAGACCTCCCATGCATGCAGGCCAAATAGAATTTAAAAATGGATTGCCAAAAAGAAAAAAAAGAAAAAAAATGCCTAGAATTGTTTGTCAGACTGATAATATGTGTGCTGCAGGTGTGTTTATCAGACTTTTTGTCAATATTGTTAAAATATTTAGAATCAACCACTCGAATATCATGGATAAGAACAATGGCCTGTAGTTTTTGTAACACTTTCGGTGATTGGCTGTTAGCATTTGCAGCGCCCTATCAAATTGATTTTTGTTTGTTAGTGTAGTTGAAGATTAACAATGGTCTGTGTATATTTCAAACTATCAGGAGTATCAGGATAACAATAAGATCTTTATTTAAGCATTGAACTGTTTTTGTATGGTATTTATGATCTATTTGAATGACACAGCTTTGCGAGCAAACAACATAATGCGCGCTAATACCATACAAAAACAGTTCAATACTTATATTTACGTTTTCTCTGCCTCTTATGTTCTTTTTTAACTTATAATTTATATTTAAAATAAAAAATGCCCGCCTTATCGACAGTCCACACAATTTCGTTCAATAGTTTGAACAGCGTATTGTCGCGTGCTGATTGGCAAACAAAGTAGTACTTTGAAATATTAACAAACACTTCAATTTTATTCCACAATTCAGTATCAATACAATTGCGTATGATATGTCTATAGGGTGATTTAAGTTTATCAATAGAACTCTGAGCTGAAAGTTAGATTTGAAATTGTTTTGATTTTCCCCCGGAACAAATTTCGCGCATGGACAAATACAGTGAACACCGTAAATCCGACCTTGCCCTCCACGAGGGAGTTATTTTTGGAAGTTAATTCAAACTTTTCTCTTTGCTAATTTTGTGAAGAATCCAGGCGTGAATGTATTTGTTGATTGTATGGGAACCTGACAACAGTCGGTAGATTCTATAACAGCCTCGTTATTTGACATGTCGTCAGAAACTGAGGAACCGTGGATACGAGACGCGTGAAACTGATAGCGTTTGAAGTGAGTGATCTTGCGACGGAGCACAGGTTCGTTACAAATGTCTGAAATGTTTATGTGTGCTGTGACTCATATCAGTAGGTCTGAAACATATGTGTCAGTAGGTCTATAGAATATGTGTATTTCAGACATTTGTAACGAACCCCTGTTGATCAGTGCAGTGTAACAGACGATATTTCTGATAAATTGCATGAGCGTTAAAATTGTTTCCATTGCCGGCATTGGTGATTTCAACTGATGTGCATTTTGTACGATATTGCAGACCTTGGTCTTGTTTTCGTTGTAATAAAAGTGTTTTTTATTTTATTTTTTATTTTTTGCACATTAATTTACAATGACATTGTCAAATCTCACAATGCCCAGCGATATTTCAGCAGCCGTCATGTTTATTTATATTGGATATTGTAGTTCCGGTCAATGTTGTTGTATTAATACGCTAAGAATTGTGTCTCGTGATGCATGGTAATTAAAGTCCCATCAACGACACAGCTTTCAAAGAAGCTATATAGTGACAATGCCATGCAAATGTAAATATTTGCATATGATGACAAGTAATCTGATGCAATCTATCAGACAGTTTTTTCGGTGGTAATATATTTGCCAATCAGGTTGTTATTCTCATTCAAGCTGCCAAAATAAGCTTAGAAACCATCAGAAACTGAAATGACTGGCTACCATTTTTGAAAATTTCAACTTTTTCAAGATTTTTAGACAAAAACAAATCTTTCAGTGAGATTAACCCTTTCACCACTGTAAACCATAATGGATAAATCCAGATCAATGCCTGGTAGAGTCTACTAAAGATACATAGCTAGGGATGAAAGGGTTAAGTATTCTCCTTTTCGTCAAACGTCGGTGAAGAAAAGATTAACCCAGTCGTTCAGACTTGTACACTGATACATTATTTTAGCATTAATTGTCATCACATTATCAATTTTTGCGCTGCGGCATCACTATTTTCCCGATTTCATGAAATTATTTTAGTGTTGTCCCTTTATGACATCACACAAGTAAAATGAGATGAAAGATAGGAATTCCTGATGTACATACATAATAGTAATAACGATTGGGGTTCTTATATACAGCTATATCACAACCTAGTTTGTAGGTCGTCTAAAAGCGGTTCACAAATTATTATCCGTGGTTATAGGGCCTTTGCAACCAGTCAATACCTTTCTCAACTCCCTGGGGACCATACAGCCCATGCTGCCATTTCGGCGCTCAAAGCTCATTCAACAATTCTAGCACTGCCCAACCACGTGCTCATTTACAGCTGAGTAGACTGGAACAAGCCGAGTAAAGTATCTTGTTCAAAGATAAAACAAAGTGCCATGACGTGACTGGAATCCGCAACCCTTCGGTCAAGAGCCCGGTGTCCTACCACTGGACTACCGTGCCTCCGAATATAATGTTGAGATATTTACAAAATTTTGGGAAATAAAATATTTTGTGCTGGGAAAACTTAAATTTTCAGATGGAAAATGTATCCCCGAAATATCAATGTTTTTTATCTCTATTATACAGGTACAGGGCCAAGTGAGAAAGACGAAGGCACGGTTTGACAAGCTTAAGTTGGACGTGATGCAGAAAGTGGACCTGTTAGCAGCCAGTCGATGTAACATGTTCTCACATGTCTTGGCCAACTATCAGTCTACGCTGCTCCACTTCTGGGAGAAAACCTCCCGCACACTCTCCGCCGTCGCTGAGAGTTTTAAGGGGTATCAGCACTACGAATTTAGCATCATCAAGGTGAGTTGTAATTTACATAAACTGGATTCCACTAATTATTACATTGCTTAATGTCAAAATTTGGTTAATGTCACATTTTGGTTAAAGTCACATTTTGGTTAATTATAATGTCATGCTTTCTGTAAATATAATTTTACTTCCTATACAAAATGTATATTGTTTGTAATTTAATTTATTTTATATCATGAGATTTTATGTTAACAGCGCTTATTACCATGATGTCTAATTCCCAGTTTCCTTAAATATCAAATGGAATTGTTGATACACGTATCATTTCCCAGCCAGGTGCTATTCGTTATCACAGATCATGTACTTTGCAAGATGGTACCTAATCCTCAAGGTCATCATAAAGTTCATAAATCAGTATATATATATGACAGGTCAAGGACACAAGGATGCATAGTCAAGGTCACTATGTATTTCATATCAAGGGTTGCCAATCCGAGTCACCATGTTGGCAGGTCAAGGACATTATGTTACACAGGGGGGATAGACATAGATAGCTGGATAGTCATTAAAAGCATCGCTACGGTCTCCGAATTCAGAATTTACAAACCATAGAAAATAGGGCCCCTTTCGCATATCTGGTTCAACCGGTTTGTCTGTTTATAAATGTAACATTTTTGGGTATGAGTCCTGGCGGACCTGCAAATGTTTATGCAGGCCTTGTAAGGCTTTGTCGAGGCTCGCCTGAAAGCAGCATCTGATTACTAGGTTTGACCTTATTTCATAAATAACCAACTCTGGTCCAACCGGTTCAACCGTTTAGATTGCTAAAAACGAATGCGACTTAGGTCTGTTAGATGATAGACCAGACTTTGACTAATAAAATTTTACTTGTTCATGTATATATTTCTTGTATCATAAGTATTTGGTAACATGAATTGAAATTGAGGATCCCTATTCCACTGCCAATTTTAACTATGCACTGAAAACCGAGTGTATCATCATTTCCATAGCTGTGATAAATAATTTCTCAAAAGATAACCAGATCCTTACGGGATATTTATGGAAAACAACAGAGATAGCATCAACACTAATCAACAGTAGTGTTTGGTTGAAAAAAAATCAGCGGGACAAGAACGAGATTCGAATCCTGGACTTTGTTGTAGTTTTGCTTTAACTGACTGATTAACCTAGGCTGTTTTCGTTTAAACGGTTAAACCGGTCGGACCACAGTTGTTTGTTTATTAAATAAGGTCGGACCTAGTAATCTGATGCTGCTTCCAGGCGAGCTTTGACAAAGCCTTGCAAGGCCTGCATAAACATTTGCAGGTCCGCAATGATTAATACCCAAAATTGTTGCATTAAGTTTATAAACGGACAAACCGGTTGTTCGGCATAAACGAACAGGCCCCTGGTCAGTGGAAGTGTCATTGCCCAACAGTGTTACTGTTATAGCTAAAACTTAATCAAGGGGAGGTTACTCTATGTACAAAAAACCTACAGATTCAGAAAGAAAAGTAATTTAGCACATATTTGTTCACTACCATACTTATCATGGAATCTTGTTTTCACATCTTGGGGAATAATTAAATAATTCCCATAGACCTTCAGTGTTTTTTATGGTGATTGTATATTGGTCAACCATAAAGTTTGAACAGTGGTTTGAAAAGTATTATTTAACATGATTTATGTTTTTTTCTCCTTATCTCCTAGTAAGCAATGTGTGGTTGCATTGTTAATTTGCTTACATTTGTTGGCATTTTAGGAATTAGCTGAACCAAGTAAACGACTGGAGAATTCGTCACGTCTCGAGCCTGCGGAGCGTGACACAGACGAGGAGTTTGACCCCACAGCGTAAGTAGCCTGAGCAGAAATAAACAGGAGTATTTTCAGGTTGAATGTGTTTTTCAATCTTTATACAAGTAAAATGATTCATGCAGATGTCTCATCGATCAAGATATGTACGTGACAACAATTGCCCCTCATCGTGTTTACGTTTCTCAGAAATACAGTTAAAAAAGAATGCCTTCAGTTTATCCTGGGGTATTAATTAATATAAGCTGGTTAAGGGAGATCTTTGTATACAGGTTTGACCACATCTTCGCTAGCCATGTGTTCGCTTCGTATACACTCCACTTACCCTTGGTGGATATAGCCGTGTTTTTATAATTCCCTTCACTGCCACCTAGCGGATATACCGAGTTATCAATCCTCTCCAAATACACTTTTAACCAATCAGAATGCCCGTTACATACACACTCCATCGGCGTGTTGACATAAGCATGTGTATGTCGAGGCGGAGTATAAATGCCAGAGCAATATGGAACCAAAGGCGGCAGCACAGTTATTTTCCCAGGTCATCATTTATATGTGGCACGTAGTCAAAGATTTCCACCAACTGATTTAACATTCCACAAGTCTCCCAAAAGATGTGCCCCTATTTTTTGGGGGCAAAACACTCTGACATAAACAACAACGTGTCCGTACAGGGCGTCGCCATTACTGTTTTCCTTCGTCAACAGCGCTATATGTAAGACGCGATTTCATTGGATGCAAGCGCTTGGCATCGCACGAAAATTTGAAGGCTCGGTAAACACGGCTATATCCGCCAAAGGTAAGTGGAGTGTATACAAAGCGAACACTTGGCTAGCGAAGATGGTTTGACCAATGCAGTGTGTTGTTGTTGTTGTTGTTTTGCTAGATGAAGTATACTGTATATTTGGAACATTTTGCTTTGTGAAACATTCGCCCTTCACCAGTAAACTTTATATTCTCTTTGTATTAATTTCACCATTCACAGTGAAAAATGTAATCTGTAAGCTGGAATTAGCATGGTGAGTTTGCTGTCGTAAATTACAGATGGCAGACAGGGTGAAAGTTCAACTTGCAAACATTTCCCGATGTACAGTGTTATTGTACAATTCACAACTGATGTTTAGTCATGCTAGCTAGCTATTACATTCTGTACATTACTTAAATTTTGTGTAAACTGACCTTTGCAAGCTGATCTTTAACTTTGTACTTACTCTGAACAGATTTGATTTGCTTCTGCTCAATACAGACTGCATACATTAGGTCTTAACCCTTTCACCCCTATGTAACTTTAGTAGACTCTACCATGCATTGATCTGGATGAGTCCATTATGGTCTACAGTGTTGAAAGGGTTAAGTACTCTGCTAAATAAATAATTGTTGATAATGGGTTTAGTGATTCCTCCATAGATTTCCATAAATTTCCATCGAAACATGTGTTAATTAGAAGAAATTATTTGTATGCAGTAAAAATGCATCCAAGTAGTATAACACCATTTTACATGATGTAAATATTACACAAAATCTAAGTAATGTATAGAAGTGTTATTTTTTTTGCTGATGCTGTTTGTTGTAGTTGTGTTGCTAGCCTAGTGCCGCTGTATCTTCATATGACCTGTGGCGGTTGTGAGGTCGTAAACTCTGTTAAAAAATAAACATGTATCACATTATCAACAACAACAAATTTGTTACACATTTATACATGTGTTGATTTAAGATGTTTTTTGCATCTTTTTTTTTATAATACATGTTAAACCAAATAACTAGCTATTACTAGATATTCTAGAACCTTGCAAAGCAAAAGAAAGTTAATGCTCTCAGACTTGCATTAAGTTTTAAGAATTGCTGAGAAGGAATCTACTGACCAAACCTGTTAGATGTCTAAATAAGGAAAATGTTTCAATTAAGATATCATAAATTCTGAAAGTCTTGAACATCTCCAATATTTTGTGGTGATTTCCCAGTCTCATTTAAATGTCCAATGCTCGTGATTTTAGTTGAAAATTTAAAAAAATCTGAATTTTGGTGTAACATGAAATTTCAATTGTATCAAAATAAAATATTGGTCCCAGAAATTTTTATTGAATAAAAAAATACCTGGAACTCTTGAAGTAATAAAATGTTTATTTTGAAAGAAACATGTAATCATTATAATTGTACTTATTTATGCAGCTATGAAACTCAAAGTAGAATATGCAAGTAATTCTGATTGCGATGAGAATTTTGATTTAAGATAAATTATTGTTGAATATGTTGTATGGTCTGTGTGTTGCATGTCTGGTAGTGCTACCTGTTGTTATTTTTTGCCTCATACAACAATAACTATTGTTGTGTGTGGTGTATATATATATATATGAACAGCAGACTTGTTAATCTAGCCACCACTAATCCAGTTGTCCCACTATCCAGTCACCACTTATACATTTGTTCCACTATCCAGTCACCACTAATCCAAATGTCTGACTATCCAACCACCACTAATCAAGTTGTCCCCTATTTAGCTACCACTAATCCAGTTGTCCCCCTCTCTAGCTACCAATAATCCAATTATCCCACTATCAAGTCAGCAACACCTTGGTTGTCCCACAATCAAGTCATCAATACCTTGGTTGTCCCACAATCAAGTCACCAATACCCTGGTTTTTCCACTATCAAGTCACAAATACTCTGATTGTCTCACTATCAAGTCACCAATACCCTGGTTTTTTCCACTATCAAGTCACCAATACCCTGGTTTTTCCACTATCAAGTAACCAATACCCTGGTTTTTCCACTATCAAGTAACCAATACCCTGGTTGTCTCACTGTCAGTTCACCATCAATACATACCATGATTGTCCCACTATCAAGTCACCAATGTATACTCTGGTTGGCTCATTATCAAGTCAGCAATTCCCTGGTTGTCTCATTATCATGTCACCAATCTCCTGGTTGTCTCACTGTCAAGTCACCAATGCCCTGGTAGTCTCACTATCATATCACCAATACCTTGGTCATCTCACTATCAAGTCACAAATTCCCTGGTTGTCCCACTATCAAGTCAGCAATACCCTGGTTGTCTCAATATCATGTCACCAATATCCTGGTTGTCTCACTGTCAAGTCACCAATGCCCTGGTAGTCTCACTATCAAATCACCAATACCTTGGTCATCTCACTATCAAGTCACAAATACCCTGGTTGTCCCACTATCAAGTCAGCAATACCCTGGTTGTCTCACTATCAAGTCACCAATTCCCTGGTTGTCTCACTATCAGGTCACCAATTCCCTGGTTGTCTCACTATCAAGTCAGCAATACCCTGGTTGTCTCACTATCAAGTCACCAATTCCCTGGTTGTCTCACTATCAAGTCACCAATACCCTGGTTGTCTCACTATCAAGTCACCAATACCTTGGTCGTCTCACTATCAAATCACCAATACCTTGGTCGTCTCACTATCAAATCACCAATACCTTGGTCGTCTCACTATCAAATCACCAACACATTGGTCGTCTCACTATCAAATCACCAATACCTTGGTCGTCTCACTATCAAGTCACCAATACCCTGGTGGTATCACTATCGAGTCACCAATACCCTGGTTGACCCACTATCAAGTCACCAATGTATCCTCTGGTTGTCTCACTATCAAGTCAACAATACCCTGGTGGTCTCACTCTCGAGTCACCAATACCCTGGTTGACCCACTATCAAGTCACCAATGTATAATCTGGTTGTCTCACTATCAAGTCAACAATACCCTGGTGGTCTCACTATCGGGTCACCAATACCCTGGTTGTCCCACTGTCAAGTCACCAATGTATACTCTGGTTGTCTCACTATCAAGTCACCAATACCCTGGTGGTCTCACTATCGAGTCACCAATACCCTGGTTGTCCCACTATCAAGTCACCAATGTATACTCTGGTTGTCTCACTATCAAATCACCAATACCCTGTTTATCTCACTTTCAAGTCACCAATACCCTGGTTGTCCCACTATCAAGTCACCAATACCCTGTTTATCTCTCTTTCAAGTCACCAATGCCCTGGTTGTCCCACTGTCAAATCACCAATACCCTTGGTTTTCCCACTGTCAAATCACCAATACCCTTGGTTTTCCCACTGTCAAATCACCAATGCCCTTTTTATCTCACTGTCAAGTCACTAATACCCGGGTTATTTTACTCTCCAGTCTCTGTATCCATTTATCCAGTTATCCCACTATCAAGTCACCAATACCCTGGTTATTTTACTATTTAGCCTTCATAAGTCCAGTTGTCCCACTATCCGTCTACCAATAATCAAAATGCCTCACTATTCAGTTGGTTTATTAAAAACTGATTAGTCTTTTCACAAAAATGCACTGGTAAGCCAGCCAGACCAGCAATGTTGGTAGCTAGGTTATCAAGGATCTGCTGTATAAGCTAGTATTGTTTTATGTTGTAATGTGTTGTACTAGCCTGCGCTTTTGCTGTTTTGATCAGTGATTTAGAGCCAGACAGTGGAGAGGAGTCAACTGACCATTGTCCAGTGCTAAAACCGTCCTGTTTGACCGATGACACAGGCCAGGAATATCCTGATGACAATGTCACGCCGGCCAAACCAGCTCAGGAAATACCAAAAATACCCGCCCCTAATCACCATATCTCCAACCACAAGAGTCTTGCTCCTGATATACAGGAGCTAGACAATCTCATAGACTTACAAGTTGATTCAGATAGCGACAGGTAGATACGAAATGGACATAACTTACAAGTTGATTCTAGAGTGATATATAGAAGATACTGGGATGTTGACCAAGGTGGTTACATGTAGAAAATGAAAGCCTGCAGGTCACTTGTAAAACATATATACAGTTACAGTTGTGATTGTCCTCTTCTTACTTTACCTGTGAATGTTCTGCAAATATAGGGGAGGGGGGGGGGGGTCATTTTTCATTTGTAACTATAAAAAAATTGACCTTTGGATGTTTTTCATTCTGCATGACATTCCAAAGCTTAAAGTTTGCCAAACTTAAGGCCCCCAGGTTCATAGATGGAATTTCGTTGTCAATAATAATCTTACATTGATAGTATTGTATATATATTACACGAAAACTGTTGATATATATGTTGTACGTAACATGAAATAGTATTGATTTATACTAAGGATGTAATATACACAAACTGTTAAGTCAGTACACGCAAACTGATGATGTAGTACACAGACATAACTTTGACAGGTTGTTGTCACTTGAGGATGAGAGTGTGGGAAAGGATGAAAACCGACAGACTGGTAGTCTACAGAACCTGTATGAGGGGGAGTCAGACAATGTCGAAGGTAAGTTTAGAATTTTTTTTGGGGGGGGGGGGCTTGTTTAGACTTTGCCTGCTGCCCAATTTCCCTTTAATCAAATTGTTTTAATAATATATTTCGAAATAAAATTCAGACAGGCTATATGCTGCATATACCTAACTAGCAATATAATGATCACATATATACAGTGACAAATAGAATACATATCACATACCCCCCATATTTATATACTTCTTAGTCTATATAAGTCACATATTTTTCTGTGTTGGGGGTGACAGGGCAGGACTCCCAAATTATGTTGATTCATTTCATAGATCAGCTATGACTACAGTATATGGGACATCTTAAATTTTCCAACTTTTTAACTATATATCTATCTTGATGTGACCAAACTGTAATATACCCAAAACATTTCTCACAACAAACAGTAAGAAATATAACACGGTTTCAACTCAGTTTGACTNTTAAGAGAAATCAACATAAAATCAGGTGATAATAAAAGAATTGAATTGCATAGATTATATAGCAGGAAAAATGGTGCATCAAAAAAACATGATAATAACCGAAAAGTGACATTAACAGACGTGATATTAGGTGAAATGTACTGTACTTTATAACCCAATAATGTGTTCATGTGCATGTGAAACACAATAAATTCACCGAGTGTTGAAGATATGCTGTGTGTATATTAAGCATATTACTCCTATAATAAGCACAGGAGGGCAACACATTAAAAGTACAGGAGTGGGCTTATTGAAGGACTATGAAATAGGGCTACCTAACTGCAGTATAAATGGATGGGCTTATTACCTGAGGCATGGGCTTGATTGACATTCATGATAATACAATAAATTTCTAACAGAAAATCTAGAATTTTAATAAATCTTATTGTTATTTAAATATCATTACCTGCTATAAGGTTAATTAGAAGTTAATTTAAAGTACCTCATTCAGTTTACTACCGCATATATACAAACCGATTATTAATAATGATTTTGACCTGATTGCCTCGGCCAAGAAAATAAATGTTTATCTCGGGTAAAATGCCTGAGAAAAATAGGGTAGGTCGGTAGGAATAAAATGTTATTTTACCAGGTAATGTTATTTTTTTATTTTTCATTAATTAATGTTAGGCTTTGTTTAAAATTTTACAATGTATTTCCATACATTACAAGTTTTGTAATGGCTTACCATTCACTTAATAATGATGTTAGGATGCTGATTCTTAGCATAGAGGTTCTTTAGGGGTCTAGCATTAATGCTGTGGATTGAAAATGGAAGATAATTTTAATTTTTTGGGGAATTTTGGACATGTTTTGGACTTAACTATCCTGGCCAAAATCTTCAGGTTAAAGTTTGGGTTAAAGTTTTGTAATGGCTTAGCATTCGCTTAATAATGATGTTAGGATGCTGATTCTTAGCATAGAGGTTCTTTAGGGGTCTAGCATTAATGCTGTGGATTGAAAATGGAAGATAATTTTATTTTTTGGGGAAATTTTGACATGTTTTGGACTTAACTATACTGGCCCAAATCTTCAGGTTAAAGTTTGGGTTTNTTCTTTAGGGGTCTAGAATTAATACTGTGGATTGAAAATGGAAAATATTTTATTTTTTGGGGAGTTTTTGACTTGTTTTGGACTTAACTATCCTGGCCAAAATCTTCAGGTTAAAGTTTGGGTTTAAGTTTTGTAATGGCTTAGCATTTGCTTAATAATGATGTTAGGATGCTGATTTTATGTACAGAGATTCTTTAGGGGTCTAGAATTAATGCTGTGGATTGAAAATGGAAAATATTTTATTTTTTGGTGAGTTTTTGACATGTTTTGGACTTAACTATCCTGGCCAAAACCTTCAGGTTAAAGTTTTGTTTTAAGTTTTGTAATGGCTTAGCATTCGCTTAATAATGATGTTAGGATGTTGATTCTTTGCATAGAGGTTCTTTAGGGGTCTAGAATTAATGCTGTGGATTGAAAATGGAAAATATTTTATTTTTTTGGGAAGTTTTTGACAATGTTTTGGACTTAACTATCCTGGCCAAAATCTTCAGGTTAAAGTTTGGGTTAAAGTTTTGTAATGGCTTAGCATTCGCTTAATAATGATGTTAGGATGCTGATTCTAAGCATAGAGGTTCTTTAGGGGTCTAGAATTAATGCTGTGGATTGAAAATGGAAAATATTTTATTTTTTGGGGAATATTTGACATGTTTTGGACTTAACTATCTTGGCCAACATCTGCAGGTTAAAGTTTGGGTAAAAGTTTTGTAATGGCTCACCGTTCACTTTATAATATTGTTATGATGGTGATATTATGGACAGAGGTTGTTTAGGGGTCTAGCATAAATGTTGTTGAGTGAAAGTGGATAAATATTTTTTGTTTTTTTATTTTTGACATGTTTTGGACTTAACTATCTTGGCCAACTTCTGCAGGTTAAAGTTTGGGGGGGCCGGTAGGGGACATGTATTGATTCATCAATTCCCACAGAATGCTTGTTATTTTGGCCCTATCACAAGTGAAGATTCTATTGCCTATATCTCTTTTTCAGAGAAGCGATTAGAGGGTAAGACAGACCCACAAGACGATGATGGCGAGTCTTTCATGGAGTTTGGCGACTTCGTAGATGATTCACAAGAGGAGTTCGATTTTAGTGGGAAAATTTTATCATTACAACAGAAGCACCCTATGTCAAAACTGGATAAAAGTAAGTTGTCTTCTTGTTTTCTATTAATATGTCTGAGAAATATTGAAGTACTGGAAAAACTGTAAGAATAGCAGGTGTATACTGTATTCAAACCAAAATTTTCTGAACAATACATTCATATATTATGGGCTGGTTTTTAACAATCTCATTCAGGTATATGCAACCAATAAAAAAAAGAAAAAAAAAACCTGCATGAATCCAAGTAGCAAATTCATATATAGTTTGCAAATATATAAAAAAAAAATATCAAATTTAAGATACGTTTAAAGTAAATGCACAATATCATGTCAATTGAATTTGTTATTAATTAAAGCTTGAAGGCAATTCATCATACAGTCGTCGAGATATGCTCCGCAAACTATTATTTCAATACTCAAGTTCAAGGTGTAATTGAGGTCACAGTGACCTTGATGTTGGGATGCCACCCCACCCCCACCCTTGATTATGTACCTATACACAAAATTTGAGCTGTTAAGGATTTTAATTTGGGCCGTGCCGCTAAAAATGGAACAAAATTCAGGATATCTGCATTTATTTACTCTTCTATTTGTGTAATATTTATTTTCAATTCAGGATATTGCTTGTCGCTGGCTTCGTATGGCCTGTGTAGATTTTTCTCAGTTGACGGGGTTAAAACTTGTGCTAGTTGAAGGGCTGAGGCCAAGAGGTAGCACCAAAACCTTAAATGCTTGTCCTTAACGGCTCAAAGGATTTTTGACCAAATTTGTTCTAGAGCATCTTTGGACTAAGGGGCCTCAAGTTTGTATAAACGAAGGGTGTGCCCCCCCCCCGGTGGCAGAGGGGCGGAGCCCAATAGGGGAATTAATTAGAGGATTTTTTTCTCCTACTCTACAAGTGAAGGGATTAAAACCAAATGCAGTCTGAAGCATGTTTAGGGACAGAAGAATCAATTTTGTATAAACTGAGGCATGTTGGCCCCCTCCATTTTGGGAGATGGCTCATTAGGGAAACATTAAAGATCCTTCTCCTTTTGTTCCAATGAAGGGATTTTAACCAAACTTGTTCTAGAGTATCTTTGGGGAAAGTTTTTAACGAAGTATGTGACCCCCCCTCCCCCCCCAGAGGTCCATACCAATCCCTAGTGGCTACCTTCTTTGGACATAACATGGAAAAATAATTTTCTTGGTGTCTTAATCACCAAAACAGAATAGTAGTTCTTCTTGTACTCCTTTGATAAACGATTATGGTACTGGCAGCAGGTTTTAAATTCAAAATAAAATACCAGGTGAGCTATTATTATTTATTACTGGAAATATTGCTTTAATTTTATTATTGTATTAGCAGTAAATTTGACATTTATAACTATCAAACCAATGGAATGAACTGGTCCATCAGTAATATTGACACAATTACCATTGTCTGTCACACATATTTATAGGCCTTGACCTCTCCGAGTGCCTCAGTGACCACCAATGTGTCATTAGTGGTGGTCAGTGCCATTGGATGCCACATACCATGGGTCTGAGTCAGAAGTGGACGCTGAAACTGACCGTCTGGTTTCAGGAGAAGGACTCTGTCATTATTATTGTCGGCCACAAACAGATACCCATACCTGTCGCAACACACACCGTATGGCTGCAGTGTCTGGTTGTCACGAGTACCATACGTCCCCTGCTGGGACAGGTACTCCCCCTGGGGGGAGAATACTTTAATGTTTGGCGCTGCAGTGTCTGTAACTAAGATATTTCCTAGACTGCTGACAGACACGTAGAAGGGGTCAACAAGTGCATTTGTGCCATCCTTGTTGCGGGCGGTGATGGTGTTGAGAAGACGGCCATCTTTTGGGTCGTGTACAGTGAGTTGAAGTCTCTGACAGTCCACCACTATAATATGCCCCTGTCTGTTAGTTGTGATGCCGCGTGGGTTGCGGAAGTGTCCTTTGATTGAGAAGACGTGTTTGCCGGTCGGAGTGAATACCTTGACATCCTCACATTCACGATCTGTCACTGCAATATTTGAGTCCATTAACACAGTTAAATCAAATGGTGTCCCTAACTTCCCCTCACCCTCTCCACAAAACACAAGTTTCCTCTCCCCATTGCTGCTGAACATTTTAATGTTCCGGTTGTCACGGTCGGCTATGATAATGTCATCCTCTTTTGTGATGGCCACCCCTGTTGGCCAAACATCCTTTACATCTTCACTACATTTGGCCGAGAAGGAAAGAGTGGTCTTGGGTGTGTTTCTCACTGTTGGCAGCAGTGTGGATGCAAGACTTGTCGTCATGGAGACAGCTTCATCATTTGCTAGAGGCACATGTCCCAGAGAGAGGCTACCAAACATGGCGGACACTGCCGCCTTGGTCGGACATGTTGGGGCAAAGTTAAGTCGGAGTTTACTGTTAATGCCGTCCAGCTGTAGATGTGTAAGCTGTGTAAGGCGATTTGTGACCAGGTGGTGGAGTGACAGGAGTTCTCCCCCCTGACCATGAGCCAGGAGGCGCTCAAGGTACTGGGCATTATCACCTAGAGAGTGTTGCGCCCGTTCCATACCGAATGTTTTCTCCTCCAACACACGTATCTCTTTGGCACACTCAGATGCAACATGATCCATAGTCTGGTTCTTGTGATCATCGATCATGGTGTGCAGGGTGTTTGCCTGGTTTTCCAAGTCAGAGAAGAGTTTGAGCCTTGCCTCCTCTACAGATGAATTGAGAGTGGTGAGAAATGTACGGTACTTTGTGATAGATGGAATTTGTTTGGTCAGTCCTCCCAGCATCGACTGCATCGCCAGTCTATACCGTGGCACAGCCATCTCTACTGAGCATGTGCTATGACCCTGATGACCTGACGATATACACTGACCACACACAGCTTCCTCACACTTATCACAAAAAAGTGTCACACGCTCCTGTGCATGGTGCTTGCAAAGCGGTGATTGGTGACCGCGGATGTCATGGTCATACATTCCTAATTTGATCTGTTTGTATGGTGCCACCTGGTGACTGCGTGTGACCTTGGTACGGCGATGAGCATCACTACAGCTGTCACAGATATGGTCCTGACAGTCAAGACAAAGTGCTGTCGCGGCACACGATTTGCCAGCGAAAGCACAGTAATCACACTGGGGTGTGGGACCATGTTTGTACATGTAAAGCTCCACCAGATGCTGGAGGAAATTGTTGACTGGGAAGTTTTGTGGTTCTATACGTGATGCACATATTGGACAAAGAAACATTTGTCCTGATTCAGAGTCTTTCACTTCTGTAGTAGTTCCCTCAACAGCATCTAGGGTCTGTGAAACACTTGACTTGTCCTTGGAAGGAATGTTCTGTGTGATTGTGGGTTTGGTTCCTGGATGGGTTGTCCTTATAGAACTGTCCTGGGGATGGGATTTCTGTGTGGAAGTGTCCTTGGAACCACAAGTCTGGGTTTGGAGGTCCTGGTCAGTGTTGTCTGGTTGTGAGGACCTGAGTCCCTCAACACACTCCTCACACAGGCTGTGGAGGCAGGGAAGCAGGAGGGGGCATGTGAACTGGTTAGAACAGCCAGGACATTTCAGGAAATCTGTCTCCAAAAGCTCTGCTAATGTTTGTTTTCCTGCCCCGCTAACTCCAGGAGTACTGTCCGTCTCCATTGTCACCTTGAAATACACAAATTAAAATCAGTCTGGAGTGCATTGTGAAATTTACACAAAAGCATTGTCATTTTATACTCAAATAAATCTACCTGGTACTTTTATGAAAATTGGAAAAGTATACTTCTGGACAATACTTAGCAAGTGTCATGTAAAAAATATAGAAAAAAACAACATAAAAAATATAACTGTCGTCTCAATTCACCCTTTGCATCTTTATACATGATATCAAATTTTCATCAATACACAAAGAAATAAGTATTATTTTGCAGTCTACTTAAATTACTGGCCTCTGCTTTGTGATATAGTGCAAATTGAACTTGATAATTGATAATTAATATGTAAGTAAATATGAAAATAGTATATCGACATATCTACATTTTTTCAAACTCACTGGAGGTTTATTATATGTGCACAGTGTCAAAATGAAAGATGAATTCATTGACAAGGGGAGTAACTCTAAGATAGACACCTTTTTATATCGAGTTATCTTCTATTTATAAGCTAGACTACTCCCAAACAGAAAAAAACAAACTTAAACACAAAGAAACCCCTCTAAAGTGGAAATTCTGATTAAACAATTCTATAGTATTCCTTTATCTACTGAGTACACCCATTGTGATAAAGGGAAGTAATCCAGTATTCTCCTTGTTTCTCACTGCATGAAATATTCACTGGAAACTAAATACCAGTAGAACACAGGAATTGCTAACATATGGTCTTTTATCTCATACCTGTTGAACCTTGTTATAGTAATACAAGCAATTTTCAGAGCATGAAATACAACGTTCTGTATTGCACATGTGCAAAACGGAATGTTATATTTACCTACTAGCCGGAACTTCTTTTTTGGGGAATCCTCTTGTCATGGCGAACTGAAAAGTTCCCGGTATTTGCAAAAAATATCAAAGTTTATAAAATCTTTGTATCGATCTCTACCAAATACGGAAGGTATGTGATAAAAGCAAGACCACACACTTGTGTTTTCCTAACGAATCAGAAAGCACTCATTTATTGCGCGGACATATATATTAACTCGTGCTTTCCGCGCACGGGTGAATATATTCGTCTGCTTAGTACACTTGTGCTTTCTGATTCGTTAGAAAAACACAAGTGTGTGGTCTTGCATATATATATACTGGTTTGACTCCATTAAAAACTCATGTATTTATTGATTAATCATTTGAAAAAGGAATCTCTCCTTTATGATTAATATTTGTTTTCATAAATGGGAAGTTAGGAGAAATGAGTGGTACACATGACAGTTGCTGCAATTTTACCTTTCCATTTACTTCAAGTTTATATTACATGAACATGATATTTTTACCAGAATTTATACAAAGTAAGTAAGCATTTTAAGATCAAAGTAATATTACATAACCTAGCCTAAGATTGCTGAGCGGATTCTCCGAGACTCACCTGTTGGAGATGGGGTGGTATCCGTATCAACTGCAAGCCTGAACTGTCATAGAGAGTGTGTGTATGTTACCTACGACGACACAACACTGTCAGTGCCACCGGTACCATTGTAATCCATTGGCCATTATAGTCTGTTCTAGAAAAGCTGTGTAAAAGATTAGTCCTGGCTATATAAAATGAAGGAGTATAACTTTTTTCAACTTTGCAAGTATTTCAATATATTCTTAAAGTGTGCAAGTTAGGCAAAACATTTTGATTCATTAACTGTCTATTTGACTAGATATGGATATGAAGAGATAAAGTAATTTAACAACTATATTATAAATACTTGTAACTAATTCTCTTCCAATCAATATTTCAATATCAAAAAATGTATTTGGAACTCTCATATTCTAATAACTTTTGTAAGCCTAAACATTTGCCTTCCTCCCAAACATTTTGGCTCTCCCCAAAAACTTTGTCCACCCAATAACAATTGTCCATACAGTAATTTTTCTTTCACCAACACCTTGATGCAACAGCATGAAAACCTGACACAAATTAAAATATCATCCGTTAACCCAAAACATTTTGATTTATCAGATCGCAAGTACAGTATGTATCAGCAGTCTAATGGGGGCTGCAGTGGCTGAGAGGTTAATTAAGGCATCTATCCATCTATAATCACTAGCCCTCCACCAATGAGTCATGGTTTCAAAGCGTATGTGGGGCAGTCACCAGCTACTGACTGCAGGTTGAGGGTTTTACTCCGTGTAATCCAGTTTCCTCCACCACCTACACCTCTTTAAATGACCATATCTGTTAATATTAGACATAAAAACACGAACAAAACAAGCTAGTCAAGTATCCTAATTTGGCAATGTATCAAGGCTGTTTAATTCACCCTGTAAAGACGAATGTTCTTCTTGAAAAAGACAAGTCATACAAGTCTTTGTTAAAAGATAAACCCCATGTTAACCAAATCTGTAGATAAAAGAAATTTGTTCCCGATTAATGAAATAGACATTAATGAAACAGACTATAATCAGGGTCTATGTCTAGCACTGCAAGTGGTCTTGTTGTAATGTATTGAGTATTTAGTTGATTGGTTTTTACCCCAGTCCCATTCTATAAAGCACTGTCAGCTTACAACAAATGAAATGTTGAATTATTATAAGATTTACGAAAAAATAACTTTTATTAGAACAAGAAAGAATGAAATGTTTAACAAAAGGTTTAAGCTATTCAGTCATAATAGAGATGTTTAAAAAATTTCTAATTTTCATTCATATTTTTAAAGATTAAATTTGATTCAACACTCGTGTTAAGTTAACAAGACTTTATGTAGTACCCCGGGGTAGATTATTGATCAGTCCATTGATCGTGTATAGAAAGAGGTCCTTTCACCACTCTTCAGTAATGGCTGAGCTTAACGGAGACCATTGCATGACGTACTTGACTGGTGTTGAGAATGACAAAACGTCTACCATTTTTATCTATCCTTTATTTAGAGAAAGGACAATACACAGCTTCTGGTATGTGTCGTTTAAATGGAGCTTTGCCCCAGGAAAGCTGTTTCATAAATATCTAAATGACAGGTATACAATTCTCAAGTCTTCTGTTCGCTTTTGGTAATCGGGTTTGAAATTGGTTTCGAGTCCATAGGTATAGTTTGACATTTACCAGGTAATGAGTAAACTGTTCACTGTTCTCGATGTATAAAGGACTATTTAAAATATTTTCATTCATCTTGTATATCAGTAAATGCTTTCAATTAAATTGTCAGCATACATGTAAATGATCGTTTAAAATACATGTACATGTCAGCATACATGTAAATGATCGATCATATATCTTTTTAATAAGTTTTTTGTTTACTGGTTATACATACATGTATTTGCCAACCTTTAACATTTTCATCGGTGAGAAACTACATGAAAAATTACTAAAACTAAAAAAAATATTTTTAAAACATCACTGTTTGACACTGTTAAGCAGTTCTATATTATGAAATGTATGTATTTAAGACAAAAAGCAAAATAGATTGAATTTCATAGATTTCTAAAGTTATAAATTAGGACGAAAAATAGGGAATCCTTCTCAAAGATTGACAGCCTTAAATTGGCAAGCATGAACTAATCCTGCAGTGTTTTCTCCAGGTTTGAAACAAATAGGGGGTATATAGTGATTATTGTTATTATTTCTTTATTTCCTCCAAATTGAAGAGTTACAAAAATATACAGTGTAGTCAAAATACAAATCAAATATTATTAATTAATACTTAAATGCACATAATACATCAGTTAACTATAGAGATGCAGAGAGAAGTTAATGAATCTTGAATTAGTTTAGTAAATACAGAAAGAATGGTCTAGTTAACAGCAAATCATACAAAATAATTAGAATGCCTGGGAATCTTGATGCTCCCAAGGGTTGGGGAAAGCCCTACCAACATATAGGCAGAATAGGTGATATAGGCAGAATATATATGGGGGGGGGGGGGGGAGCATGTACACAATCGTCCCTTCTGGAGAAAACACTGACCCTGTATCTTAAACCAGGATATTAGATCTATTCAAATGAGCTATACCTCATAGTTACTACTGGGCTTAATGCCCCAGGTAAAAGAAATTAACACAGGCCTCGCTTGGTCTCTTTTATGTACAATGTATTGTGGTGAAGATTGAGAGGTGTTAAATAACGCTTACAATTATATCCAGTATATCTTGTATTTACACGCTGATAACAAAGCTCAGGAAACTGTGATATTATTCATTATATAATATATTGAGAAGAGGATTAAAATCTCGTTATATTACAGTTAACGGCGCCATGAAAATGTTAAACATAAACCAGCTCGTTAGTGCCATGTTTGCAAATAAGGAGATGCATGCACATGAAAAATCTATATTGATTTCTGTCATTACAGAGGGCGCAAATAAAACTGCATTTGTTGATCTCCTTTGGCAACACCTGAGTTCATTTCTGTCAAAATGACATTAATGCAGCTTCTGATTTTGGTTTCAGAAGTTCTGAAACAATCAGGAAGAAAAAAAAACAATTTGATATTTACACTCAATTATTAGAGTCACCTGATAGCACCACAGAGCTTCTGGGGAGGGCCGTAGCTGTCTAGACAATTAGTCCACAGTTTTCATCACATTCTCTACAACTTTATGCAAGGATTGAAATGTTTCTGAATACCATACAGCAAAGCAAAATTTTATAGGAAAAATGTATGCCAAAAACTTGTTGGGAGCGCTTATTGAGGTCAAACAAAGTATACCGGTATGTCATCCTCGTTACTCCAGGGGTTAGTGGAAGGCATGAAGATAGCTGTTTGATTGGGCTCCGGGGAAAAAATCCTGACCAATCACCAGGCTGATACCTGAACTCTGAAGATTACAAAGGAGTGCCTTCCAACTTCAAAGCCTCTCAATTTTTACTGTTACGTGTCCCACGAGATTCTTTTGATGAACATCAAAGGATCGAAATAGTCTCATCTACAAGGTGGTGTACACTGTACGTTCAATTTTGCTATGACATATTCCAGGGGTGCAGAGAGCGAAAGTGAGCGTTACCCCTGGAGTGTCGAGGATGAGAATATGTCGTTTCATTGGATCCAAAATGAAGAGACAAAATATTATTGTTTTTGGTATTTACGTATTTCTGTGATTTTCTTTTACAGGTAAGCAGGACCTGTTGTGTGATGATATTGAACAGGAGGATACGGAGAAGGATGACATGACGATTCTCAACGAGATTTTAAATGCACCATCAACAGGGGGTGATGACTTCACACGGGAATGGCAGGCGGTTTTTGGCAATGTGCCACTGTCGTCAGGGACGACGTACACACCCGTAGAAAGTGACCAACCAGCTCAGCCCGCCGAGTTCATGCCATCAAATCTGCTTGACCTGAGCAAGCACATAGCCAATCAGTCTAGTAAGTTAATTGCCTTACAAGGGAATCATGTGCTCTGATTGGTCGAGCTTATCAATCTAGTAAGTTTTCTATGTCTCACAGGAGAATCATGTGCTCTGATTGAATGATAGGTTATTAATGTCTCACAAGAGATTGAATGATAGGTTATTAATGTCTCACAAGAGAATCATGAGATCTGATTGGACGACAGGAATTAAATCATAAATTTACTTCAGAGGATTTAAGTGAGAAACGTGCTAATGATTGAGCTAGATAAAATTGCAGCTTGACATTGTTGTTTTCAAATTGAATATTTTGTTAATAAATTAAAAATACTTATACAAATCCACTGGCCCAATGTGTGGGACTAATAAAATTTATGTCAGAGTTAGTGAAATTTTCAATATTTACTATGAAATAGTAGGTTGGGCTGGTAGAAGTTTTTAAACAAACAGTAATGTTCATTTATGACAAGAGATGACCATGACAGCATATACTGGGATATCAGCAAATTTAATCCAGTGTTTACATCATTAGTGATGATGGTGTCATGGTCATCTCTTCTCATTAGTGATTCTTTAATTCTATGGCCGGACAAGTGAATTCTATTTAAAGAATCCATCAACTGGGAGATGCTGAACTTTATTGAAAACTACGGCTGACTGGACGTTGGATCTCTACCCCCCTGTAGTGATGTTCATTTGTTAGATTCATGTCGTCAGTGTGTAGCTAAGGAGTCTTAAAAGTGCTGCTTTTAAACAGATCAAAAATTTGATTGATTCCAAAATCTTTCAACACTGTCTATTAATTTACCTCAATTTTCTGATTAAAAGCTGCCTGCAGGCTAATGATATTAAGGTAAAGAGTACCACTGCATCAGTAATTATCACAAAGAAGAGTTCTGCTAAGTTGTTTTTTTAGCTCACCTGGCCTATGCCAATTACTCCGTCGTCTGTCCGTCAACTTTTTCTTTTGAATGAACTAGGGTCATGATATTTGACCAGTAGGTACCTGTGATGGAGTGCTTTAAAGTTTCCCTATTAGAATGACACCTTGACCTAGTTTCAAGGTCACAGGGGTCAAATATGTTAAAAACTTAAAACAACAATATCCTAAAAACTATTTGGACTAGATAGATACTTGAGAATATTATGTAGACAAGCAGTGCAGATCTTTTTCTTAATTACAGTAATGAGGTCAAAGGTCAACTTAAAGTGCTAGTCGGGGGTCAAAGGTCAACATGGGTTAAAAGCTTTAAAATTCATATCTTAAGAACCATTTTAGAGATATTCAAATGTCTTGTGTTATAGTTACCAAATTTGGTCTGAAGTTACCTATATGTCAATTTCATGTAACAAAAGAAACAGGTGAGCAATACAGGCCCTTTGGGCCTCTTGTTTACTGAAGTATTCTCCATTCTTTATGGAAGAGAAAACAACAACAAAAAATATTTTCCTGGCTTAAATCAACTTCCCATGTCAAATTATTCATAGGCGTTACAGACCATAAATAGGATACTCATTTTGATGCTGTTCATTTGTAAATATTTACATTTGCTCGGTTGTTGTGAAACAATATATAGCTACAACAACATTTGCTACCATGACATCATCAATCTCTTTTGTGACATCATCAATTTTATTGTTGTCAGCATGTACACTTAATTTGCTGTTCAAAGAACTGTTTGAAATAACTAAATAAAGCATACCTACATACATGTACTCTATCAAAATATAAATATAAATACTGACAAACTTACATAAACACCTATGGTTTTATAAAGTTTGTCATCAATATAAATAGCAACATGTGTTAAAACATTAATTGCTTAACTCATTCACCACTGAATTCAAAGACATATAACTCTTCCAATTCAATGGTTGGAATAGTTGATAATACAAATTTCAGGGGTGAATGAGTTAGATCTTGAAGGTAACATTGGTATAATGTAGGCTTTGCATTGCAAAAGCTCTAAGTTTTGCCCCTGCAGTTTTTCTGTTTTCTATTTATTTTATTTTAAATATTCTAATTTCATACAGGAGTAATTCAGTAAAATGTACACATCATGTGATTTTTATTTCAAACTCCCTTTGAAAAGGCAACAACTGGTTCATCGTTGTCAGTATAATGTGACCGAGAGAATGCTGTGTTGGGTGCCTTCGGCACGGTATTTCAGTGAAATAGCACTATAAAGTCAGCATCAGATCCGCGCTATCACAAGGAGGCAAGCACACCAACATACCCTGCCCCCTGCATACAATACACACACGTAAGCACGCATACACTACACACATGGAGGCACGTCCTTAAATGACCTTAGCTGTTAATAGGACATTAAACAAACATAAACCAAACCAAACCTTTGAAAAGGACGTAAACAAGTATTGTACAGTCGTGTCAATTGTACTTATATAGTTTAACTTGTAGGCCCCTTCACCATAACATGAAATGGTACTCCTCTGAAGAAGTACCTGGTAGTGATCATAAGGTAGTCTGAGGTATCTCCCTTAGCTTGGATTCACTTTAGAAATGCAGATCAACCGTGGAGACGTACAATGTGGCTACTACTTCAAAGTAAATGAAAGATTATCCTGTAATAAAGCAAGATTGGCCTGTGTACTTTCAATCTTTGTTATAGAAAATACACTACACGTATCTGTGGAAAAGTGAATTAAATCTTCAGAATTCTCTTTTTTTTGTGTGATAAACTGGAACAAGCAACACAAAGATGTGTTCTCAGATATTCTTGTCAAATTCTCTTTATATTTAAGAGAAAATATTATGGTTATTTATCCAAAATCAAAGAGTTTCTGAAATATTCGTAATAATAGACCAAACAAATATTATTTGATGTATAACGTAACAAAAGTGTAAAAATAATGTTTTGAAGTACAGTCAAACTTCAATGTCTCGAAATTTATGGGACTGTCAGGAAAACGTTGAAACATCAAGACTTCAACTCATGAATGTTGAACTTCAAATATATTTGAGATCCTACATTTATACTGCATATTAGAGAATATGATTGTTACGTGACGAAACACATGCAAGGCATGAATTTTGATTTGAAATATATCATTTTTGGATTAATGTAATTAGAAAAACATGTTTACATGTATTTATACACTGTAGTTTGCATGTTTAGGTATAAAAATGACAACAGGACTTTTTAATGTTCTCGTACAACGATTGTTGTACTTTGATTAATTAATTGTAATTTTCTATTTTTTCCCAACAATCACACCACGATTATAATTTGAAACAGCAAGGAATTTGACTCAAAAAAGTTTGAATAATAAATGGAATATATCAGTAGTGTTATATAAGGGGAAAACTGGACTTTGTTGTAAGTTTGACACATCAAGCAATTCTAATTATCTTTGAAGTTCGGTTTGCAGGAGTTTGACTGTAAAAAAATTAGTTGGATTAAATTTCATCCTTAAAGTTTACTGTGTGGTTTCTGTTGTAGATGTACCAACTAACACAGGGACACAAAACCCAAAGCAAAACATGGCTTCGGGACAGGAACTACAGCAATCAAAACCTAAAGGAGCTGGTAAGAAGGTAAGATCAACCAAACCACAGGGGAACTAGTAAAAAGGTAAAGGGTTAGGACGCACAGTAATCAAAACCATTACATTCACGTATCCAAGTTGAAACAGTGTTAATTACTGTCAGCAGAAAAATTCCCTAGTCACCAACACTCCCCTTTGAAATGTTTTTAAAGAGTTTCAAATTAAAGCTCCTCATAATCGAAATTCATCCACATCAAATAAGTCAAATGTATCTTGTAGATTATCCAAATAGATAACTGCTAGTGAGATTAATTGCTGACTGGAAGTCCTGAACAGTAAACCTAGAGAACAGATCTTCTGTGTAAAAGTTTGAATTATGGCCTCTTTTTAAAGTGTTTAAATTAGAGGCTGTGAAGTGAGTGTGTAGACTAACCTTGGAATAAGTGTATTTTGGAAAAGAAATTGAAAAGAAAATAAAAGAGTGGATACGTATCTGATCAAACTTCAGGTGGCACAGAAATATTCCACAAGAACCTAACGCACCTGGACAAGAACTTTAGGCAACGCTAAAAATGCACAGTTTCGGAGTAGATAGGTATTTCATTACAACAGTATATGGTAGATGGCTATTTCATGGCGATATATAGGTATTTTACGGCTACAGTATATGGTAGATGATTATTTTATGGGGGTAGATAGGTATTTTATGGCTGTACCACAATATCAAGAAAATATAAACAACACTTTCTTTCCAAATACATTTTAAATACAGTATATAAGAACCCAAGCCACGTTCATTATTCTCACTATTACACTTTTCATTTGTACTGTAATACAGGTTTTGTTTATTATCTTTTTGGGGGAAAGTATGCAAAGTAAGCATACCAGTAAGTACTCCAAGTACACTTATAAGTATACTCCAAGTACACTTATAAGTATACTCCAAGTACACTTATAAGTATACTCCA